ACACACACACACACACACACACACACACACACACACACACACACACAAAGAATCAATCACTGAGTCCTTACATTGACAAGAATTTCTCTAGTAAAATATTTCTCAAATATTCAAGTGACTGTGCACTTCCAGGTTCTGTTAGGATGTTTGATCGCATGGAATTTTGTTGGCAAAAAAAAAGTCTAGATATTAAAAGTGGGTTTGGGAGACCTATGGAAAAACTTGAGTATTTCTGGTAAAGACCTTGACTATAGAAGAGAGCCAAATGAAGACAGAATAGATCACAAATTATGAGCTGCAAAGAATCAATTCTAAAAAGAATTTAGTATGATTGTAGAAAAGGTAAAATTTTCAAAAAAAAGACCCCTCCAAAATGGTAAGCCAAACCCTATAAGGCGGTCCAGAAGGATGATTTAAATTATTTACGACTTTCTCCATTCCTCATCCCCACAAATTAAGAAAACAGAAATAAATTTTTAAAAACTGGAGGGGGAAATAGAAAAGGCACAGTAGTGATACTTGGAACTACCATTCAGATACTACACTTAAGAGCGATTCACCATAAGACATACACACTTTTACTTTACCATGTCTGTTTTTAAGAGAATGAAACAGTTTCCATCCCCAAGGATTCTGGCAACTCATCTCCATTATGACAAATTACCTGGGTCCATCTTCAAGAATAAAGCCAAGGTGAGTGTCCCTCCCTACTCGTATTTCAGTTTGAAGTTTTTAATGTCTAGATATTGCCTTTCTGAGCTATGTGATGAAGTCTGCATCTTATCATAGAATTTTGAGAAATGAAACGTGTGATTTAGCATTTCTTCTGTTGTTTCTTTCTTCAAATATATTTGCTATTGTTGTGCTCAAAGTGAATGCATTTTCAGTTAGGATATAAAACATATACCTAGAATTGAACATATTTTAAAATCTGTTTTATAGTGAATAGATTCCAGAATCCCACTAAGATATTTAGAGAGTTTAACAAAAGAATGTGATAGGAAAACGAGGAGTTGTGTTTTTTTGTTCTTTCTGATGAGCATTATTTATGTGAGGTCTGAAGCAATTTTATTTCTGAATTTCACTTATAATAGCAAACTTCATGTCCTGCAAACATAACTATAGGTGCTTTGGCTACTCTTATCATTTTTTTATTTTTGCTGACCAAACTCTGAACATTATTTTCATTGTCCTTAATATTACTTTTTAATATTATGTTGCAATTTTTACTTTGTGGTTTACCCTTCCAGATCATGCCCTTATGACTATTCTAATGAGCTTGCCCTTTTTTCCTTTTTGGTATCTTCTTTTTTTTTTTTTAACGTTTATTTTTTTATTTTGAGAAAGAGAGAGAGTGTGTGCACTGCTCACACATGAACACATGCTAGCTGGGGGAGGGGCAGAGAGAGAGAGAGAGAGAGAGAGAGAGAGAGAATCTCAAGCCGGCTCTGCACTGTCAGTGCAGAACCTGGCTTGGGGCTCAATCCCACAAACCATGAGATTGTGACCTAAGTCGAACTCAAGAGTCAGACACTTAACCGACTGAGCCACCCAGGCACCTTGCTTTTTTCATATCTTCTACACATGCCTTCTTAATGTCTAAGTTCATTAGCAAAAGTTCTCTGCTACAACATCAGTCTGCTTTTTCTTCTTTTCTCTTCCCTCTCCCCAGACTTCCCCATCTGCCACCCCCGCTTCTTCAATTTCTCTGTATGTTAACAAAATTATGTCATATACAAGATTACACAATGATATTGTTCACCCCTTCACTTTTCCAAAGTTCAAAATATAGACCTGAATAAATTAACTTAATTTTCTCTTTCTAGATTTTGGTGATATTTCGAAACCCTAAAGATACGGCAGTATCTTTTTTCCATTTCCACAACGATGTCCCTGATATTCCAAGCTATGGCTCCTGGGATGAATTCTTCAGACAGTTCATGAAAGGCCAAGGTATGGCTGTTGGTGAAAGAATTCTTACTTTGACAGATGACCACAAAAGTACAAAAAATCAAATGTATTTTAAGGTAAAGAAAGAAGACTAGGGAGGATCCAGGAACCAAAAAGTTGCTTTTATTTAAAATTTTTTTTAACGTTTATTTATTTTTGAGACAGAGAGAGACAGAGCATGAACGGGGGAGGGTCAGAGAGAGGGAGACACAGAATCTGAAACAGGCTCCAGGCTCTGAGCTGTCAGCACAGAGCCTGAAGTGGGGCTCGAGCTCACGGACCGCGAGATCGTGACCTGAGCCGAAGTCGTTCGCTCAACCGACTGAGCCACCCAGGCGCCCCCCAAAAAGTTGCTTTTAATGAAACTTTAATGAAGTTTTATAGCACCACTAGTTCTGTACATCAAACAATAATACATTACGTTTTTAAAAATAATTTGGGCAATTTACATGTTGCCTATAAGTATGAGGTGGCCGTAGAACAGACATAGGACCAAGAGGCCTATACAGAGTCATGTGGAAAAGCATCTCTGGTTAATTTCCCCTAAGTCTCTATATAACACAATGATAAAAAAAAAAAGAGAGAGAGAGAGAGAGAGATAAAACCATGACATTGAGCAAACACATCTAAGATATTTGTTTGCCAGAAAGGAAAAGGCTTTGTTAGACCATGTTGATGTTTTACCTCTGGTTATTGATAACTGCAATTTTGTAGGTGCCTACTGAGGCTTCTGGCTGGCTCAGTCAGCAGAGCACGCAACCCTTGATCTTGGGGTTGTGAGTTCGAGCCCCACATTGGGTGTAGGGATTACTTAAAAAAAACTCTTGTAAGTGCCTACTGATGCTCCAATGTACCAAAGGAGGTGTTTTATGTGCATGATTTCATTTAAGACTATAACAAACTATGAATAAAGTATTTCCAGCCCCTTGCGCAGATGAGAAAACTAATCCAAAAAGTTAAAACACTTGCCAGTGGTCCCACTGCTTGTAAGCCCCAGTGACTCTACTTCCATGGGTATATAATGGCCAGAGATTAAAGATGCCTCCTTTAGTTGGTGGCTCTTTTCAGTCTTGGCAGTGTCATAGAAGGCAGAATTAATGCCACATGATCCTTGAGAAGTTGTTGACAGGTCACTCTAAGAGAACCACTTTTATTTTATTTTATTGGCTAACAAACAGCGTGTACAGTCTGCTCTTGGTTCTGGGGGTAGATTCCCGTGGTTCATCACTTACATACAATACCCAGTGCTCATCCTAACATGATTTTTAAAGTTTTATTTATTTATTTACTTACTCACGGACTTATTTATTATTTTGAGAGAGACAGAGCAGCGCCAAGTGTGGGAGGGGCAGAGAGAGAGGGAGAATCCCAAGCAGACTCTGCACTGTCAATGCAGAGCCCGATGTGGGACTTAAACACATGAAACTGTGAGATCATGACCTGAGCTGAAATCGAGAGTGGGATGTTTAACCTACTGAGCCACCCAGGTGCCCAAACAGGACCACTTCTAAAGGTGACCAGCACAGCAACACCATGCCCCACATGCATGGCCACTGGGTACAGTATTGGTTCCTAAGCACAGATTAAGTATTGGGATCGGCGGGAGGGGGGGGGGGGTAGTGCACAGAAGGTGCTTATGAAGCACCACGATCAAAGTTTTGTTTGTCTGGAAACCACTCACTAAGTGGTGCAAAGTTTCTTCTTTGCACGCTTTGTTACGTTCAACTTATGAAGGAAGCTCAATGTACTGGAAAACATGCAGGATTTGGAATGAGAGGACTGGATTGGCTTCATCACTTATTATTATATATTAGTAATTAATATTAGATAGAATAGTTACCACTTACTGAGCAATTACTACATGCCAGGCACTATATACTATCTCTTGTGTACATTTTAACATTTCATTTTTTTTTTTAAGTTTATTTATTTTGAGAGACAGATAGCAGAGGAGGAGCAGAGAGAGACGGAGAGAGACAATCCCAGGCAGGCTCTGTGCTGTCAGTGCGGAGCCCGATGAGGGACTCGAATACACGAACCATGAAATCATGACCTGAACCGAAACCAAGAGTTGGACGCTTAACCGACTAAGCCACCCAGATGCTCCCCAAAATTTCCATTTCTCTTAAGAACCCATGGGGACAAATACTATAATTGTCCCCTTTTGTAAAGATGGAAATAGAGGCATAAAAAGGTCACACAGCCACTAAGTAGCAGAGCTTGAATTTAAATTCAGGTTCAAATCACTCACACCTGGGTGATGTTGAGCAAGACATTTGATTTTTTTTTTTATTTTTTTTTTAACGTTTATTTATTTTTGAGACAGAGAGAGACAGAGCATGAATGGGGGAGGGGCAGAGAGAGAGGGAGACACAGAATCGGAAACAGGCTCCAGGCTCTGAGCTGTCAGCACAGAGCCCGACGCAGGGCTCGAACTCATGAACTGTGAGATCGTGACCTGAGCTGAAGTTGGACGCTTAACCGACTGAGCCACCCAGGCGCCCCAAGACATTTGATCTTTATGAACATTGGTTTCCTGACTTATAAAGGAAAGGTAAGAATATCTGACCTGCAGGAAGTAGGACAGTAGAGCATTTTGTTTGGCAGCACTACAGCTCTGGTGTCAGACAGATGTTGAAAGACGGCAAAACCCATAACTTGCTGTGTGACCTTAAAGCGGTTATTTCCCCACCAACAAAATAGGTATAAAACCTGTACCTATCACCCTGGATTGCTTTAAAGATCCCAGGATCAAATGTGTAACTATCAATTAATAGTGCATGGGGAAGAACAGAAAACCTGACCACAGTGGCCCAAACAGATTAGGTTTAATTTTTCTCACTCAACAAGAAGCCTGAAGAGAGACAGCTGGTTCAGTTGCCCAGTGATGGCAAAGCCAACGCCTCTGCCATTCCCTTGGCCTTTCCCTTCTGCCTTTTGCAACATACTCTCAGGCTGGCTACTGTGCCTCCAAGCATCACTTTCAGATCCTGAAGGAGGTTCATCAAGACCGCAACGGTTTTACTAGAAAGCTTCCAGCAGACTTCTGCTTGTGTCTTGCTGGCCAGAACTATATCCTGAGACCAATCACAGTGCGAAGGGAGGCTGAGAAACAGGAACCAGAATTCCCATAACTGGCTTAGACCCAAGTAACTAACCAGAGTTTGGTTAGCAGCAAAAACAGGAATATATTGGATATTGGGTATGAAACATACAGTGTCTGCCTCAACAAAGAAAACATGTGGAAATAGCCTGGCTCAAAGCAAGGGCTTCAATGATAACAATGATGATGATAAGAATTATGAGAATATTATTATTACTAGCGATTACAGTAACGGCTAAAATTTGCTGAGTGGGTACTATTAATCAGGCACTGTTTTAACCATTTGATGTGTGTTAATTCATTTAAGTCTGACAACAATGCCATTTTACTAATGAGGTAACTAAGGTACAAAGAGGTTTCGGTTGTTGCTCAAAGTCACACAGTTAATAAGCAGCACAGCTAATCAGTGTCTAGATGTTCACTGTTCAGTGTAGTAGCCACTAGCTACGTGTGGCAAATGAGCACGTGAATTGTGACTGGTGCAATCGAGGAGTTAAATTTTGCATCTTATTTAATTAGTTTAAATTTAAAAACAGATACTCAGGGCACCTGGGTGGCTCAGTCGGTTAAGGGTCTGACTTTGGCTCAGGTCATGATCTCAAGATTTGTGAGTTTGAGCCCCGCATCAGACTCTGCGCTGGCAGCAAGGAGCCTGGAGCCTGCTTCAGATTCTGTGTCTCCCTCCCTCTCTGTTCCTTCCCTGCTTGTTCCCTCTCTCTCTCAAAAACAAATAAACATTAAAAAAAAAAAAAAAACCCAGATAATTCAGTTATTGGAAACTTTTAAATGAATTTGGTACAAGTTGAGTATATGAATCTACTTTCTCAACTTAAGTTTGTAAACGTCTAAAAATACATCAGGGCACCTGGGTGGCTCAGTCGGTTAAGGGTCTGACTCTTGATTTCAGCTCAGGTCACAATCTCACGGGTTTGTGAATTTGAGCCCCGCATCAGGCTCTGCACTGACAGTGCAGAGCCTGCTTTGGATTCTCTCTCTCTCTCCCTATCTCTATGCCTTTCCCCTACTTGTGGTCTCTCTCTCACAAATAAACAAATTAACTTTAAAAAAGGTCTAAAAATACATCAAGTATTTTTGATAAAGAATTTGGCATTCAAATTGAGATTCTCTGTAAGTATAAAATGCCCACTGGCTTTTGAAGACTTAGAAACAAAGTGTGATGGTTCCTTAGTAATTTTTTATATTGATTATATTCTGAAATGATAATATTTTGGGATATATTTGGTTAAACAAAATAAAATACTAAAGTTAATTTCACCTGTTTCTTTTTGCTTTTCTTAATGTGGCTATTGGAATATTTAAAATTACAGATGTGGTGGGGGGATGCCGGGGTGGTTCAGTCAGTTAAGCCTCTGACTCTGGCTCAGGTCATGATCTTTCGGTTCATGAGTTCGAGCCGCAAATCAGGCTCTGTGCTCTCAGTACAGATCCTGCTTTGGATCCTGTCTCCCTTTATCTCTGCCCCTCCCTTGCTTGTGCTTTCTCCCTCTCTCAAAAATAAATAAATAAGCATTTTTAAAAATTTACAGATGTGGGGGCGCCTGGGTGGCGCAGTCGGTTAAGCGTCTGACTTCAGCCAGGTCACGATCTCGCGATCCGTGAGTTCGAGCCCCGCGTCAGGCTCTGGGCTGATGGCTCGGAGCCTGGAGCCTGTTTCCGATTCTGTGTCTCCCTCTCTCTCTGCCCCTCCCCCATTCATGCTCTGTCTCTCTCTGTCCCAAAAATAAATAAAAAACGTTGAAAAAAAATAAAAAAAAATAAATAAAATTTACAGATGTGGCTTTCATTAAATTTCTATTGGACAATGCTGATCGAGAAAACATCTGTCTCATCATTTCTTTTCTTTCCGGTACTATCTGTCGTTTTTCGTGTACCTTTCACTATTTCTGAATCATTTTATTCACCTAAATATTCATGAATGTCTGGTAGTTTTTTATCAAATCACTTTTGCAACTTGCTTAGTTATTATTTATGAAAATAATAAAATGAATAGAAATCTGACACAGGAATGGCCGTATGCCAGTTCTTCTGGAGCAGGGATTTATAATGACATACAAACATCTTGTCTGAGCATATACACACACACATATATATAGTTTATATTTTAACGCATAAATTAACCATCTATAATTTTAACCTCAATTATTTGAAATTCCCTAAGAATTTTTTCCTTACATTTTTAGTTTCCTGGGGAAGCTATTTTGATTTTGCCATTAACTGGAACAAACATCTTGATGATGAAAATGTTAAGTTCATATTATATGAAGACCTGAAAAAGGTAAGATTTTGATTATTGACATTCTATAGCAAGATTTATTATAAAATATCACATAGAGAACCTACTTTTAATGTCTGGTTGTGTGAACAAATATTGTATTCAATTAAAAAAATAAATATTCCAGATTTGTGGTACAATGCTAGGAAAAAAAAACACAGTGCATAGGGGCTTAGGTTGTTTATTTAACAGAAATAAAATAATGCTTAGCAACTTATTACTAACAGTGGCTGCTTTATTTTCCTTCTGTGATAGATAGCCCAACTTAAGAATGGCAGAAATAATAAGTAGGTTTCAACTGAGATGGAATTGAACGTGCATTTGGCTGTGAATTGATTTTTCCATATAATGTTATTTTTTAAATTGGTATTCATGAACATTTATTTTTTTATTTTATTTTATTTTTTACTTTTTTTTACATTTATTTATTTTTTGAGAGACATAGAGAGACAGAGCACAAGTTGGGGAAGGGCAGAGAGAGAGGGGGACACAGAATCCGAAGCAGGCTCCAGGCTCTGAGCTGTCAGCACACAGCCTGATGCGGGGCTCAAACTCACAAACCGTGAGATGATGACCTGAGCTGAAGTTGGTCGCCCAACTGACTGAGCCACCCAGGCGCCCCGAACATTTATTTTTTTAATATATGAAATTTATTGTCAAATTGGTTTCCATACAACACCCAGTGCTCATCCCAAAAGGTGCCCTCCTCAATACCCATCACCCACCCTCCCTTCCCTCCCAACCCCCATCAACCCTCAGTTTGTTCGCAGTTTTTAAGAGTCTCTTATGCTTCGGCTGTCTCCCACCCTAACCTCTTTTTTTTTTCCTTCCCCTCCCCCATTCATGAACATTTAGTGCTGCCCAGCATTGTTCTAGGCCCTTGTGATACATCAATGAACAGACCAGACAAAATTCACTGCCCTGGAGAAGCTTACCTTCTAGCTGGAGGAGGCAGGGAGAGAGAAAAACAATAAATGTAACATTTTAAAAATGTTTATAATATGTGAGAAAAAAGAAATGGTATAACTGATTAAGGAAAACTGGAAATGTCAGGGGTAGGGAATTGGGATGTTGGACAAATCCCCATATAAGATAGCTGGTAGAAACCTCATGGAATGGATGTGATTTGAGCAAAGATCTAAAGAAGATGAGGGAGTAAGCAGAGTAGGTAACTGGAATAAGAATTTTCCGGGCACACAGAACCAACTGGAGCAAACGCCCTGAGGTAGGAGTGTTCCTGGTATGGTTAAGTGATATGAAGGAGGCGGATGTGGCTGGGTCAGTAGGGGTGAACCAGGGGAGATTAACCAATGAGAACAGAGGCAAGGGAGTGGGGTAGAGAGGAGTGTGGGGAATAATGTGGCCAGCCATTGAAATTACTTTGGCCTTCACTCTGAGTGAAACAGAAAACCATTATGGGATTCGAGCAGAAAAGTGATAGGAGTTGTGTTTTTAACAGGTTCATTCTGGTTGGTGCATGAAAACGTACTAGAGAGAAGCAAAGATTGTGTAGAGAAACCCATGAGGAGACTACTATAGTAGTCCAGGCAAAGGAAGATTGTGGCTTAGACCAGAAGTGGCAATGGAAGTAATAAGTAGTTAAATTCTGAATATTTATTGAAGAAGAGCTATTAGGATTTGCTGCTGGATTGGATGGGAGAAAGAGCAGTGAGAGAAAAATGAAGTCAAATAAGACTCCAATATTACTGGCCTGACCAACTGAGAGGACTGAATTGTCGTCCCTTGAGTACGAGATGCCAGCAGGTGAAGTGAGATTGTGGGAAAGATCAGGGGTTTGGCTTTGCGCATGCTTAGTCTGAGATGTTTATTAGTCATCCAAATGGAGAGGTCAAGTTGACTATAAACGTGTTGAATGGAGAGAGTGCTGGGCTGTATATATAAATTTGGCACATAGATGGCATTCAAAGCCATGAGATTACATACTTACATGTATGTAAGTATATACATAGGGAAGAGAAGGAGACCAAGAACTGAGCCCTAGAGTCCCCCATATAGACTGTTTGGGAAACAGGAGGAACCAGCAAAGGAGATGGAGGAGGGGCTAATGAGGCAGGAGGGAAGCCAGAGTCCTGGACTCCAGTAGAGAAAGTATGTTAAAAAGGGAGCGTGCCAAATGCTTTCTAGAGGAATTGGGTTATTAACACCAGTCTCCTCTGACATGCTTATCAAAGGGAAGTATGAATGAATCCATCCCTTCTGTTTCTCGAGTGCATTTATGTAACATGAGAGAACATACTAATTTAGTCTTTTATCCTTCTAGTCTACAATGATGTTTCTGAAACTTGTGTTCCACGGAATGCCATGTTGCCCAGATGTTAATAATTCTTGCTTGGAGGTTGCCTATTCAAACTGACTTGGGGACTGTGGCTCTTTTGGGACATTCACATTGCAAGTTGACATAGTCAAGAGTGAGAGATCCTGTAGGAAAAACAAAACAAACTTCTCTTTATTTAACCAAAAGGATTCCAAACTTATTTGACCTCACCCTTCACTCTCCTTTTCTTTCCTTTTTTTTTCTTTTTTCACAAAACATCTATAGCCACCTTGAAGTAAATTAGTGTTTTGTAGAATACAGTTTAAGAAACTGTTCTAGAAGATTATGAATCTTCATTGGTAGGGATACTGGTTACAAGGGTATTTAGACAAGATTAATTTCAAGATTCCTTCTAGTTTTCAGGATTCTAAAAATTAGACTTTCTGGATAGAATTAAACATTAGCTATAAATAGGATTCAGAAGAAAAGAGAATTGGAATGGGCATGTACAAATACATTGATTTCCTCAGCTCATTTAGACTGGTGCTTTTTTTTAATTATTTTTTTTAATGTTTATTTTTTTTTTTTTAATTTTTTTTTCAACGTTTATTTATTTTTGGGACAGAGAGAGACAGAGCATGAACGGGGGAGGGGCAGAGAGAGAGGGAGACACAGAATCGGAATCAGGCTCCAGGCTCTGAGCCATCAGCCCAGAGCCTGACGCGGGGCTCGAACTCACGGACTGCGAGATCGTGACCTGGCTGAAGTCGGACGCTTAACCGACTGTGCCACCCAGGCGCCCCTTTAATGTTTATTTTTGAGAGAGAGACAGCAAGAGCCAGGGAGAAGCAGAGAGAGAGAGAGGGGTAGATACAGATTCTGAAACAAGCTCACAGCCCGATGCAAGGCTTGCTCACAAACTGGGAGATCATAACCTGAGCCAAAGTCGGATGCTTAATCGACTGAGCCACCCAGGTGCCCCTAGACTGGTGCTTTTTAATAAAATGAGTATCATCTTAGATAAGACCTACTACTTAATGCTTGCTATCGTTATTTGTATCCTGAGGAGTTTAGTAAGAGTCACCCATTGAAACTACAAAGTAAAAACAATACAGAATATTTTGTAGGGCTATCTCAAATATTGATACAGAAGTATCAAAGAAAGTCTAAAGAGAGAGATGAAAAGGTGAGTTGGAGAGGTAAGCTTAGTGAATCCATTCTGGCTAAGAAACCTGTCTTTGCTTAGGCACAATTCCCATAGAAAGAAGTTTATCCTTGAAAATGTTGTTTTCAGAACCTGACCGCTGGAATAAAACAAATTGCTGAGTTCTTTGGATTCTCTTTAACTGGGGAGCAGATCCAAACCATCTCAGCCCAGAGTACCTTCCAAGCAATGCGAGCAAAGTCCCAGGAAACACACGGTGCCGTTGGGCCCTTCCTGTTCCGCAAAGGTAAAGTCACATTTGTTTCTGGGACATCCATTGGTTTGCATGTAACAGGCAATCCAAATACTTTATTTTTATAATTTTTTTAATGTATATTTATTTTTGAGAGACAGAAAGACGGACAGAGCACCAGCAGGGGAGGGGCAGAGAGAGAGGGAGACCCCAAATCCACAGCAGGCTCCAGGCTCTGAGCTGTCAGCACTAAGCCAGACGTGGGGCTTGAACCCACGAACCATGAGATCATGGCCTAAGCCGAAGGCAGACACTTAACCGACTGAGCCACACAGGTGCCCCAATCCAAATACTTTTATCTTCAGTTAAGACAGGATTTTCTTGTTTCTCCCTCAATAAGTTTGGACACAGTGAGCTCAAAGTAGACTGAGTTCCACTGAGTAGTATACTTCTACTGTGTACTAATTCCACAGAAGTAGACTGAGTGAGTTCCACAATATCTAAAGTATCTTTCAGAGTACTAAGTTCCTTGTACCTTTCTGCTTGCCAGTATGTGATGGCAGGACAACAGCCAGAGCTCCACCATTACATTAAAACTAAAGGATTATACATTTTTAAAATAAACAGGGAATAGCAAGATACAGAATCGCATGTTAGCTGAGTGGGGCCCCTTTAAAGAACTTTGTGGGAAGCCTCATCAGTGACTTCTTTATACCTCATTGGCCACCTCTTACTGCCCTGTTGGTTGGGAACTGTGATTTTTTTAAAGGCAATCTAACTTCTTATGACAGTTTATGATAATATAGCTTAGGTATTACCAGTTTTTTAAAATTATATATATATATTGAAAGTATAACATGATTTAGAGGCAGCACTATGTGTTAGACCTTTTACTAGGCATAAATTTTACAGCAAAAAAATTCATGAATTCCTTAATTTTATAAATGTGGGCACCAAAGCTCAGGGAAATTAATTTGTCCGTTGCCACAAAGCTAATGATCGATGGAGTCAGGATTTGAACGTAGGTTTACTTGAGTCTACTCCACTTTACTTTATCAAATGAAGACCCATCTAAAATACCCACTGTGAATGGAACATTGAATGTAAATCTAGCTTGGGCTTGATTCCTGACTTTACCCCTGATTTTTATGCCTTGCTTGATTAGCTTTAAAGGAGGGGGAAGAAAATAGAACTTCTCTTTATATTGCTTTTTAAAAAAATTTTTTAATGTTTATTTTTGATAGAGAAAGAGAGAGAGCAGGGGAGGGGCAGAGAAAGAGGGAGACACAGAATCCCAAGCAGGCCCCAGGCTCTGAGCTGCCAGCATGGAGCCTGACACAGGGCTCAAACTCACAAACCTGCAAATTCATGACCTGAACCAAAGTCGGACGCTCAACCAACTGAAACACCCAGGCATTAATCACACACTATTCAGAACAGAAAAATTCTAAAATAAAGTGGTAACTTAAGTTACAATTTTTCTTTGCAAAAATTCAGAAGGCACAGGTAAATGTGCAAGAACGTTAAAAATTATTCACATTTCTCCCACCAGAGGCAAGTTTAACTTTTTGGCATATTTCTTCCAGCCTCATTCTATGATGTTTTATATAGTGGGTGACATTTGTAAACAGCTTTGTGTTTTATGTTACTCCCTTCATACATCCAAGCACTTCCTTGTCATTAAACCCTCTTTATAAACATACATTTCAATGGCTATGCAACAAGGAACTTGCAACTTCAACCCAAATCACCAAAAGATTCTAAAGAAAGAAGCAACTTCCTTTGTTTTTAAAAGGAATAAGAAAAACATATCCTAATCTCAGGCAAAGTAGTAACTTTTTGCAAAATTATCAGCATCTGAGGTCTTAACCAAAACCTGTTGTAAAATGATAACTTCTCAAGGGGTGAGGTATTTAAAAGACTTTACAGAGGGGGAAAAAAGAATGACTTTCAAAAAGTGGAATTTTAGGTCCCAAGTGTTGAGACAGGGGTGGGGCTAGGAGATGACTGAGGCCAACAGTCCCTTCGGTGATATAAAGAAAGCACATCACCTACTATGCCACAGATGGGGAGGCCCCAATGGATACCATTAACTTTACAGGAGGAATTACATTCATTTTTAAGACTGCTTAATTTTCTTCATGTCTCCATTTCCCATTTCAAAGTGAAATGCTGCACTGAAAAAATGGTAAGATCAAGAAGAAATAGGGGGATGGGTAAAATGGGTGAAGGGAAGTAGGAGGTACAGGCTTCCAGTTAAGTAAGGAACAAGTCATGGGACTAAAAGGCACAGCACAGGTAACGGTATTATAAATGGCGTTGTATGGTGACAGATGGTAGCTATACTTGTGAGCACAGCATAGTGTGTCTAGTTGTCGAACCACTATGTGACAGCCCTGAAACGAATGTAACACTGTGTGCCAACCATACTCAAATAAAAATAAAAATAAAATGAAATAAATAGCTAAAAAAAAAAAAAAAAAATGAGGAAACTATCTTCTAACAGGTGTCCGGGTCTGTTATTTTTGTGTGTGTTGTAGGTGAAGTTGGTGATTGGAAAAATTTGTTCAGTGAAACTCAGAACCAGGAAATGGATGAAAAGTTCAAACAGTGCTTGGCAGGCACTTCCCTAGGAGCAAAGTTGAAGTATGAATCCTACTGCCACCCTTGAAGTAGGAATCCTATTGCCATCCTATTGCCAATTCAGCAGGCATGGGTATTTTCTTTTCCTGAATGATTATTAAATAATGAAATAAGAAGTTGATCAAATAATCAACTAATGATAATTAAACAACGTTTAGATATACATAATATGAATTTAATAATAATGATAACATTGGGGCGCCTGGGTGGCTCAGTCGGTTGGGCATCCGACTTCGGTTCAGGTCATGATCTCGCGGTCTGTGACATCTAGCCCCGCGTCGGGCTCTGTGCTGACAGTTCAGAGCCTGGAGCCTGCTTCGGATTCTGTGTCTTTTTCTCATTCTCTCTGCCCCTCCCCTGCTCATGCTCTGTCTCTCTCTGTCTCAAAAATAAATAAAACATTAATAATAATGATAACATTGAAGTTTTTGAGTGCAGAGTTGTTTGTTCACTTTTTTTTTTAACTTTTTTTTTTTTTTAATGTTTATTTATTTTTGAGGGAGAGAGAGACAGAGAGTGAGTGGGCAAGGGGCAGAGAGAGAGAGGGAGACACAGAATCTGAAGCAGACTCCAGCCTCCGCACTGTCAGCACAGAGCCTGATGCGGGGCTCGAACCCACAGACCACAAGACCATGACCAGAGCTGAAGTCAGATGTCCAACCGACTGAGCCACCTAGGTGCCCCTTTAAACTTTTTTTTAATGTTTATTATTTATTTTTGAGAGAGAGAGAGAGAGAGAGAGAGAGAGAAAGCACGAGCGGGGGAGGGGTAGAGAGAGAGGGAGACACAGAATCCGAAGCAGGCTCCAGGCTCTGAGCTGTCAGCACAGAGCCCGACGCAGGGCTCAAACCCACAAACTGAGATCATGACCTGGGCCGAAGTTGGACGCTTAACCGACTGAGCCACCCAGGCGCCCATTTGCTTTTTGAGGAAAGACCATTTAGCTGTCCAAAGGGGATACTCTTGCTCATGTGGCATGCTGGGGTTGTAACTTCTTTCATGCTCTGGGTTCACATAAGAGCATAAGCAGATACTATCAGAGACACACGTAAATTGGTGTCTGAATGGTGTGTAGATGAGACAGGCCTCCCAGTGATGCACAATTTTTTTGTCCTCCCAGAATAATTCCTCTGTCCCTCACTACAGACCAAAGCACTTGTGGTTATCTCAGACTTACTGTCGGGGGGAATTTAATTCCAACTCTGCACTGAATTAAGATGAATAAATCCTATCCTCATATAATTCAAGGAAAATGCATTCACTGCTCATCTACTCTGTGTATGTCCCTGCAGTGAGCCTCGTGGAGGCCCCACTCTCAAGGGGCATTATATGTCTATTTAACACAACCTTTAATTCAAAACTAAATATTAGAGATTGTGTCATTCTGGCATAAAGGCTTTTCGACCACAGAACCCTAGGTAGTAAGGTGGAACTTATGAGAGAAGGTAAAGAAAGTTTTGGACGAGCCATCTCAACAGTCCCTAATCTTTACACCATAGCTAGTCACAGTGAAGAATAGAAGGGTTCATAGAAAAGTTAAATAAAATTCCTTTGAGAGGGGTGCCTAGATGGCTCAGTCAGTTAAGCATTTGACTTCGGCTCAGGTCATGATCTCATGGTCTGTGAGTTTGAGTCCTGCATCAGGCACTGTGCTGACAGCTCGGGGCCTGGAGCCTGCTTCGGATTCTGTGTCTCCCTCTCTCTCTCTGCACCTCCCCCACTTGCACTCTGTCTCTCTCTCTCTCCCTCTCTCAAAAATAAATAAATATTAAAATTTTAAAAAAAAATTTGTATTGAGAAAGACTGCAGGACTACTATTTCTGGTAGTATGGTGGATTACATAACCTGAAAACCCTTCCCTCAGAACACCAAGAAAGTCTGGATAAAAATTCTTACAAATTCTTTTAGTTGAATTTCTCAGCCCCCAGTAGAGTAAGTGGACTCATCAGGGCCCAAAACCACAGATGGAACAGAGAAGGAGACCAAGTAATAATCAGAGATGACATTAAGCCACCATTTACTGAGAGACTTGTCAGCAACAGACGCTTGGGTTTTAATGCCCAGACCCCCATGACTGGTGCAGGAGTAGACAAATAGAGCAAAACAGAGCTGTTGAACTGACCCATAGAGGACAGGGCTGCCATTGCATATCTAGGAAGAAATTACACTCTTCCATATTTGCTACTAAGACAATTGATTATGATACAGAAGAAGTAAAATCAGATTCTCACATTCTATCACTCACAAAAATGAATTTCTTGCAAATTAAACAACCATATGTTTAAAAAAGATGTTAAAGCTTTAGTTTTTTGGAAGCAAATACAAGATAATATTTTTATAACTAGAGTGAGATTTCTTAAAGAAGAAACAGAAAGCACAAAGAGGACACAATTTATGTTTTTGGCTACATTAAAATCTAAACATCTTTGTGGGGTGTCTGGCTGGCTCAGTCCTGACTCTTGATCTCAGAGTTGTCAATTCTAGCCCCAGGCTGGATGTAGTTTAAAAAGTAAAAAAACAAAACAAAACAAAACAAAAAAAAACTTAAAAAGTAAAACTGTGTCATTAAGAAAGTGAAACCCAAAAATGTAAAATGGCAGGGCAGAGACTTGAAGAAGTTACTAAATAAAAGGCTACTATTTAGAGTATATAAAGAACAACCAAGAGGTGCTTGGGTGGCTCAGTCAGTTAAGTGTCCAACTACGGCTCAGGTCACAATCTCATGGTTCGTGAGTTTGAGCCCCGCCTCAGGCTTTCTGCTGTCAGCACAAAGCCCGCTTTGGATCCTCTGTCCCCCTCTCTCTCTGACCCTCCTCCACTCATTCTCTCTCTTTCTCACCAAATAAATAAATAAACTTAAAAAAAAAAAAAAAAACTTAAAGGGTACCTGGGTGGCTCAGTTCGTTGAGCGTTGAACTTTGGCTCAGGTCATGGTCTCAGAGTTCGTGGGTTGGAGCCCCACATCGGGCTCTGGAGCCCACTTCGGATTCCGTGTCTCCCTCTCACTCTGCCCCTCCCTGCTCACTGTCTCTCAAAAATAAACAAACATTTAAAAATTTTTTTTAAAAACTTAAAAAAATAAAGATCAACTGAATGCCTGCTTCCTTTCTTACACTCTATCTTTTTGAAACTAACTTCTACATAAACACTTAAGGACATAGTGCCATCATCGTGTATCCAGTACAATGCTGCACATAGTAGGCACTCAATAAATATTTATTGAATAAATTAATGAACGAAGGGACTTTTTTTAAAAAAAACCAAGAAGTGTTACTTAGAATATAAATCAGTCAGGATCCTTTTGATGTAATAAACAAAATCAAACACATACAGGTTTATAGTAGAAAGAAGAGGAGGGGAGAAGTCTTACAACTGACTGGCCTAGGATGGGTCTGGTTCAGATTAGTCTTGATCCAGAGCTCAAAGAAAGGCCCGATTCTCAACCTTCACTTCTCAACTCTACCCCCTCAGTGTAGCCTCCATTTTGGGGGAGATTTCTCTTTGGGAAGTACTGGAAACAGAAACCACTATAAGTATGTCAAGCATAAGGATTCAGTGGGAAATGAATGCATATATGTCGGAAAGGTTGGCAGAATGAAAACCAAGAGACTTCCACTGCACCTGCCATCCAGAGCTCAGGACCTTGTCACTGACACTGCTTCTACCACGGCTGCCACCACGGATGCACCATACCCTTGGAGAACTGACAAGGGCACCTGGAGTCATGAGCACAGAAGTTTGCTCATCAGCTCATTCTATCACATGAGGATGGCCTTCTCCTTCCTTCCGTCTTCCAAATCTTGCACCATGGCTCATCAGTCATTAGCAGAACTCCAGAATTTTAATTCCATAAAAATCTGGCAACGTGATTTTAACTTTCCATACTTTGTAATCCAGGAGACAGGGAGACATAGAAAGGAGTGAGATTAGAAGCTAAATAAAAATGAACAATATCGTGCAGTCCACTGCTTGCACTAATAATCTTTCAAGCAGACAACAGAACTATGTTCCCACCTAATGCACCCATTCCCTTCTTCAAATGAAAACATGCTTATCCGAGCCCCTAGTCTTTATACCCATGGCTATGTGATATTCCTCCCTCTTCTTTTTTAGTCACAAATTCTACCGTAAGACACTCTAACCAGAAGACTATCTTATAAAATTAACCACTACCAGCAAATCTCATAGAAAAGGAAAGGGAAAAGCAATGAAGTTTATTAATACAAAAACAAAGCAAGGAAGAAAAATGCAGTAGGTCATGAAACTGTAGTTGGTGTTTATTACTTCCTTATTCCTTATTCCTTATTCTCTTTGCCCTCAGAAATCTTCCCAGCCAGTAGGGTGACATAAACCTTCAATCCTGAAGGATCTGAGCCCTAAACAGTCCTGTCTTGTTGAACAGCTGTAGATTTCTACTAACATGTATCACTGAACAGGGAGTTACTAGAAGGAACTCAAGAGGAACTCCTGAGTTAAAGACATGCTTGTCTCGAACTCCGTTGCGTGGCTACATCACTATTTTCCCATAAATCAGCCCAGCTGGTTTGGTAACTTCCTTATTTCCTTGATGGCCTGATGGCATCATGAACCTGAAATGTCCAGATGCAGTTTCAAATTCCTATTCAAGGAACTATGTGTCTCCTACTGGAAACACAGCCCAATGTCATAGGAACAGGAAACACTATTTTGCAAGGGCATGACTAGGTTTCATTGTGGAACACAACACTCTCACTTCTACTGTTTCCTGAGTTCAGGTGTACTGGCCATGAAAGAAACAGCAATCTGGTTTAGAACATCCACTGCCCGAAGGACAGTACACTCAGCTGAGTATACACTCAGTATACTCCTGCTTGGGGCTGCACCTGAGCCTTCAATACTCCACCCTACTGCCCTGTACAGCCAGCTGCTTTGGGGTGACGAGGTTCATAATAAAACTACTGAATTCTACAGCAGTCAGTATACTGCCTCATTTTTCTGTAAAACGGGTTTCTTAGCAAGACAGGCTGTGATGGTGAGCAAGTATACAGA